ATGTTGTAAAGCCGAGGTGATTTCTTAAAATCGTTTGAGAAAATTTTGCAGTAAACAATTTGCGTTTTTTTAAAGTACGAATTGTAAAAGGGCCAAAGACCAACATCTTCACGTGCAAATTGTGTGTATGAGTTATTTTTATAATTCTGTTTACTTGATTACTGTGTGATAACTCGAATTCCCTCACGTAGGAACCACGAAGGGGGCAAAGTCCATCATTTTCACGTGCCAGTTGTGTGACTGTACATCTCATGCAGATTGGCTTTTCACAATAATAATAGTAACTTGAACGTACGTATGAAGACCTGTTTCGTTTTGTAACCAATGCCTTAAAAAAGGCTCTTGTCTTTTAAGACGCAATAGCTTTTAAAACGTGAAGAAATAAGTTGTCGGAGTTAAACACTGTTTCACTGGGTAGAATCGCACGTGAAAACCTCGTGAATTGTGATGATGCAACCATATACCACAATGATAAAAGAAACTCCGAGGAAACCTAAGAAACTCCGAGGAAACCTTAGAGTTGTCCTTCCAGTCAACGTTTGGTGAGTAGACATATATTTTACTTTAGCAATTTGTTTAACTTGCACCAAATGTAACAGGGAAAGACAGAGGAAAGTGAATATATAGCATGAGGATCGACGCAGCTGAGCGTTTCGCGTTTTTGTTTACGTACGGCAATACTCAATTTCGCACAAAAACCCAGTCTACATTTAGGACGAAAAAGGTAGATTCATCACTCTTGGTAAGGTTACACTGAAGCAGTAAAGTTACACTGAAGCATTCAAAATAGCTCATGCACGTGTAACGTGCCTATGTTAAATTGTATTAGTAGCGGAGTTTATGTGAATTCTTGTAAATTTATACCTTGATTTAAGTAGGGCCTACCCTCAAAAGTGATTGCCGTGCAAAAAAAGAAAAGAAAATTCGGGTTAAGACAGATTAATTTGCTGTAGGAAAGTGAAAGTTAATAGCTAACCAAAATTAGTAGTTAACTGAGAATTGGCCAAAAAAATAGTTTGGCCGAAAAATTAGTAGTTAACTAAGAATCAAGAGACTATAAAGGGGACAGAGAAGCCATCCCCCATATACACCCTATTCCATAGGTAATTCGTCTCGAGTTATTTTTAGAACCGCAGAACCCAAGGGGGATTGGACAACAGCCAATCACATAGCGCGAATGTATTCCGCGTGGACGACCCACGCTAGGGCCACGCGTCCTCCACGAATTGACGCGGAACAAAATGGGGGAAGACGCGGAGAGCGATTTTGCTATTCCTTTTGTCGACGAAAACGACTACAGCGAGATTTCTGCGAAAGCTGTGTCAGCGAAACCGAAATTAAAAAAGAATCGCCCTTCCTCTCTTGTATAGAGCTAACAGTAGAGCAGGGAAATCCTTAACACACTGAATATTCTCTCAGGATCATTTATAATTTACAGTTTGAAGAGAGCAATTTCTGGTTTGATGTTTATTTTTTTCAGTCTTTATAGCGATTATTCCTACCCACTTACTTTGTCAATTGTAGGCGAACCCTCCTAAAGCTGAATTTCAAGGGACCATATTCAAGCTCAGAAAGAGAAATAAAATTTCGTCGTTGCTTATTTACGTCCTCCATAAAACGCGAAATTAGGCATTTTCACGTCGTAGTCGTGCAAAAACGGGAAAGAAATGAACAAAAAAGTGTGTTGCACGTGCGAAGTTGTTGTTTTGCTAATTAAACCTATTGTTTTTTTGACGTTCTACTTGTCGTCCGCGTCGTTGGATCTTAAACTCCCTAAATTGGACAAACGACCGGTTTCAATAGACCGGCGAAATTTCTCATTTTATTAAAGCACTGAGGTTACGACAACTTCGAGTTAAACTGATTTCACGGGTTGTCAAAGAATCCAGCGATTCCTTTTTCCCAGGTGAGCGCCGACTCATTTCGCTTCAATATTTAGGAATAATCTCGATCTTTTTACGCTTTCATTGCCTCTCGCCCGACATGTTTTGCACGGCGTTTGGTCATGCGAAACCTCCACGAAACATCCACGCCTCGCGCGAGGTAACTTCATCCCGATTCTAAAAATAACTCGAGACGAATTACCTATGGAATAGGGTGTATATGGGGGATGGCCTCTCTGTCCCCTTTATAGTCTCTTGCTAAGAATTGGATACCCTCATTAGCACCCTCTAATGAAGGGAATAGGGAGCTTAACTAGCGACGACGACGACAACGGCTATTGAAAATTTAAGGTTTGAAATATATTTTCGTTTTAGTCTAATTCAAACATACAGAATCTTTTACTTCGTACGGATATTGTTTACTAAACACCAAACTTAAAGTTCCTTGTGTTGGATTTTAAGTAGCTGGTCTAGATCACACAAAATTCGGCTTTTATCAGTTTCAAAGTTTTTTGTTTATTGTTTTCATAGTAATATCGATTTTACTTAAAACTACATTTTGACAAATTTTAATCCATAGCTAATTGATGGTAAAAATTTTATAGCGATCGGACAAGGAAAAAAACACTTTTAAGGCGATTGTAAAATATCGGTATGGCCTCTGAAAAACTGTATCGAGACACCTTAATTAAAAATGAGGTTTGTGGTGCGGAACCTCCAGGAGGCAGATATAATTCAACCGCTCTTCGTTTAAACTTAGTTCTTAGTCTGACACCGAGCCAAGAATTTATTTTACTTTGTTTCTGAAATGTGGAAAACTTAAAAATCAGTTTTAAAATTCTTGAACGCTTTTTGAAATAGTCGCTAGAACGAGCCATTAACTAAAGATCTTTTAAAACAGGTATTGAGAAGCATTCTTCAACTAGTAAGAAAAACTTCAGATGGTTGTTTTAAGAAATCCGAATCACATGTGTTAACGTTGATGAAAGGACATGAACCCACACAAATTTAAGTCTTAATTAATTATTATAAGCAATAGTGTTTCAGTCTTGTAACACGCTCAATTGAGGGATATTTACCAATAAATACTTCTGCTCCACAACGTAAATATCAGCGACCCAATCAAGTACGAAAAAATTTTCTAGGTGGCTAGGTTTTCTTAGTTATAACATCCGAGGACGTTACCGTTGTGCATTCCGGCGAAACTCAATCATCAAACGTTGTGGCAAGTTTCAATTCTATTTCAATTACATGTCTTAAGGATGCTATTTGATCATTGGCGTACGGGCAATTTTTTGCCAGGGGGGCAGTAAACCATTTGCCCAAAAAATTCTCGCAAATTGCACAAATTTGTATGAAACAGTAGAAAAGAAACGAGGGCCATACGATGCAACAACATAGGCCTTGCTGGCATATGAAGGTGGCTCGATACTGTACTAGTTTTTCAGGGCCAATACCTCCCAATTTCGAGCATAACTACGTCGCAATATACAAACATTTGGAAAAATTGCCACCACAGTTTTATTAGATTAAGATGAAAATTTGTCATGAGTAGGGTTTTAATGACATCGGAGTTGTCATAGCAACGAAATGACGCCATTGCCTATTTTACTTGCAACAATATTTCTCCGCACTGGCAACTAATTCCTACAAAATCGTTCACGGGAGCTTTTTCCTCAAATAGTTGCCTCTATGTTGGTGAAGTTAAAACCGAGTCTGTAAGAGTGTTACCGGGATATTTTGGGATGAAGTTTTTATCGTTAGAAATATGGTAAAAAAAATCTTGACGTTTGGCCGTTATCTGTAGAAAACGAAGCTCTTTTGACGTGCAATTTCACCCCATAGTAGCCTCAATCTTTTTAAAAACGTGTGTGAAAGAAGATCATGAAGATAGCTCCGACCGATCGCTAGAGAGAAGGATTTCATTGGTATGTATTGAGGCGCTCTTGTTAGCGGTTTTGTAAACATTTCGGTCTACTTAAATAAATTTTTGCTCGATAGATTTTTTTAAAAAAAATTAATATTCAATTCTCGTAATTCGAGCTGAGTATTCTTCATTTTCAGACCCACTGTTGCTGATGCTATCTGCCACACACTGTTCTACGAGCGGAGATGATTCTAGAAAGATATACGGAAGTTTATTCTAATCAATTCACAACTAGAAAGAGCCCATTCCACTTAGTGCAGTGCAGTGCAGTACAGCGCTCAACAACAAAAATCTATAAATATGTAAATCAACAAATGATACCCTTCCCTAATAACCAGAAACTCATCACGTGCTAGGCAACCACTGTCTCGAGAGAATGTAACTGGTTTTATTACGCCGGATTATTATGGATTTTTTTCAGATTAAGATAGAAAATATTTATCTCTTCAAACTAATAAAAAAAACGTGGAAACATCTTTGAAAACTGGCTTTGCCCAAATTTTCTCTTGCTGCCCAAAAAATCTGAGTTGCCCAAAATTTAGGGGGGGGCTGCAGCCCCCCTCGTCCCCCGGCCCGTACGCTTATGTATTTGATCTTATATTACCTGGATATTTCGTATCGAATTGCGACTGGAGTAATTATGGTTTATTATCAACAGCTCTCGGTACGCGCTCGATATCATCAAAGGTAATCTTTTTACCGATGTCACAGAAAAAATAATTGCAATTTTAATACTTTTCGACATTAAAACAAAAATACTTCTTCACAGGTCGATTTATCAAACTTCATTTAGTGATGTCAAGTTTTATAAATATCTAATGCAAACTGACCCGAAAGTATGACACCTCAAAATGCTTGCCGCCTACCATCCAGGATTTCTTTGTTAAATTAATTCAGTCCTCATTTTCTGATCATTTTTGAGGTCGATTTTTGCATTGAAATACTTTGGCGGTTAAATAAGTTCAGCCTGCATAGAAGGTGTTATATATTACAATGGATCATTACCCTTGCTCAACTTCCGCCTGAACATGATTAACTTCATATTCATATCTATTTGTCCTCTTTTTGGTTTTGGTTAAACATCATCTATCGAAGCTCCTCATTTTACACAGTCAGCTAACCCTTGCGGCACTCTTATGCACTGGAAGAAAATTCATTTATATGTTAATATTTTACAGTTGAATTCAGAGATGGAGAACCAACAAAAATCGAAGTTAAACATCAAACAGCGCTTTTCCTGTGGCTTCGGGATCGTTCTCAACGAAGTTTTCCGCCAAATGTACATTTCTTTTTCCATTATATTTTTGATGCAAGTGATTGGTTTATCGGCATCCCAAGCCGGATTGGCTATGCTTATTGGACAAACGACTGACGCCTTTACCTCTCCAATAACTGGTTTCTTGGGCGACCGGGTGCGAATTCCATTTATTTCCAAAAAGATGGGTCGAAGGAAGTCGTGGCACTTAGTGGGAACGGTTATGATGGCCGGTGGACTTCCTCTTCTGTTCAATCGGTGTTTGGTATGCAACGATTATCAGGGTGTCAGTTGGTTGCAACCTTTTTACTATTATTGCATCATGGTTATTATAAGTGCGGCATACAACATTCTGGAGATCAATCATCTTTCCATCACCTTCACTGCAGCTGGGACAGTGCAAGAAGGCGCAGCGTTAAGTGCTATAAGGTTACAGCAATAACACTATTTTTTTGTTCACAATTTCTTGACTCTGATTTTTTTATTCTGTTCTCTGACTGAATGTGATCTCACTAGTGGTTGGGAGTGTATATATTGTTAATCAACGCAGCAAAAACTGAAGGGTGCACGTTTTTGCCTCTGCCTTTTTTATTTTTCAAACCTTTTTTTTATTTTACGCTTTGAATATGAAATGCAGGCACCTGATTTGACGGGTTACAATAACATCAGTGATTAAGTTCAGCTCAAGACATGGTACTGTATAGGAATAAAGATATCCTCATCCTGATTTTATGCCGTTAGAGTCGACCTTTTGTTTCTTTTTTTTTTCCTTTTTTTTTTTTTCTCATATAGGACAGTCCTTAGTTTCGTTACGGGAATATACGTTTATGTGGTTGCCTGGGGACTGCTTGGTCAGGATGGCGGAGACGATCTGGGGCCGGAAAGTGTAAAACAGTTTGCGGTAGGTACCGAAATAAAGTGACGATATGGAAGTTGCATTAATGAACAAAGCAACCTAACTGATTGGATTAATGATGATGATGATGAGATTAAATTCGTAATACCATATTGCTCCCGCGCCCAAACAAACGCAAGTTTTTTATGGTGCCTGCATGCCTTTTGATAACTAGCTATATAGTGGAGCATGTGTAATTCGTTTTTTAAACAAGCTAAAAACTTTTTCCTAGAGTATTCTTAGGTATGTATCAGCAATAAAAGTTTAAATTGAAATAAAACTATATTTAAGTTTAAAAAAATCGTATTTTAGTTATTTTCAAATGTTTATATTTCTTTCCCTTTCGACGCAGTATCTTGTATGGATTGTCACTGGTACAGGAGTAGCTTTTACAGTCATTTTTTATATTGGAACAAACGAACCAGCCGTACGTCCTCTAAGAAAGGTCAGCACACTCAAGGATCCAGTGGTATATGAAGCAACATAAGATATCGGTTACTCTGTCCTCGACGACTAGCCATCTTCCTTTAAGCCCCTGGCCATGGACGATTCGTAACCACGATTTTTATCGTAAGAATGCGTTGTTGTAACCTTGTTGCGATATTGTTTCGAATGAATGCAACATTGTTTGATTGCAACGCTCGCCGTTTTGCGCTGAAAATCGTTGTTGCGAATCGTTCCTAAGAACATCACCTTTAGTCCAGTATTATATGGACTTTGCCTGCTAAATTATGACGTTGATGTTCTTGCAAGGTTTGGCTGATATGTATGTATCAACACAAGAGAGAATAATCTCTCTGGTTGAGCTAATTCTAGGCTATATGTGATAGCCCACTAGTAGCGTAAAGCGACGGCTTTGAAAACCAAAACAATGGCGGCTGAATCGCGTGTTGCTAGCTAAAGTTGTTTTGTCTCGATATTTTTGACCAACTAGTTGGATTTTACTAAAAAAAATATTCCTCTCGCCCTCATGGCCTCTGAGTCAATAGCCCATTCGGTTATTCGCTCAGAGCCCATTCGGGCTCGAGGAATAATTGTTAAATACCTAGTGCTGTTGCAATTTGTAGTAATCGTCGCACTTTATATTACCTGAAACTAAGTCCGATCACATGTCGCAATTCGCCACAAAGCCGTGTCGCACTTGGTAATAAAAAAGTGTCCACTTTGACACGTCTCCCCAGGATGCCCATCTCTCTTTGTTAGAAAATATCACCATACCTTATAGACTTAAAGTTTGTACCAATTAATCAAATACCTACTCTTGCATGTCGGCAAGTGTAAATATCTGAGAGTTTTTTCCACGTCGACCATGAATTGTCTCAAGAAGAGTTTCACAGCGGTGGCAATTTTATGACATGAATAAATCGTTTTTATCTTTGGCTAGAACGGTGAAGGATTATTTCAGGCTAGCCAGTCTGCTTATTCAATGGTCTCCGAACAAGTTGATGGTGAGTTGAATGAAATGGATTACTCTACCTTTAGTTCCAATCTTTCTGTTTTACGTTCACCTCACAGTGTACGTTGAAACACGAGCAAATAGTACTATATTGAGGTCTAATTTGTCAGTAAAAGGAGACCTTGTCAATTTAACGATACCTAAGATGGAGCTAAAACTCACACATCAGTAGGGCCAATTAATTTTATAAAACTTTTTCAAGTGTAATTTACAAGTGTTGCTATTGTTTTTGTACTCCAAAAAAAATAGCTATATGTTCATTGTTACGCGTCATAAGTAACAACCGAGTAAGGGTCTGCGTTCTTTTTTAATTAGTTAGTTTCTCACGTGCGGATGCTGAAAAAGCAGCGAAAACGATCTTTCGATAATCCTGCCTCTCGATCAATTCCTTGCGACAAGAAGTAGACGATGAGGTCAATTAAGAAAGAAAAATTCCCATTATGGGCTCCTGATCTGGAGGGATCCTGAAAAGAAAAAGATATTCAAAAAAATATTTCGTTAACATCACGGGCCAACATCGGGTAATATTGAAAGGTAAAATCAGATAAAGAAAGGAGAAGGGATGTCTTTTTACCTCTTTCAGTTAATACGCACTCAGTAGTTGAACACAATATCTATGTCAAATAAAGCTAATTATTATTCATTCAAAATATTTCCCCAATTCTGATTGGCTAAAAGCACACGCATAATTTACCATAACCAGTTACTGATGACCAAATTTGGAAGAATTTTGTGTTTAACGAGGAAATGACGTCAAAAACGCAGCCTTCTACAGGTTAATGCACCGTTAACCGAGAAGACCTGGGAACGAGGTTGAGTTGTTTTTGTTGTGAAAATTCAAATGGCGGACACTTCACTCGTTTCAACAGTAATTAAGAACTACAGCTGGAACTAGATGAAATAATTGCTAAAAACATAAAGACAACTCGGAGGGCGACATAAGCTATTTGGAGAATATTTGCGGAGCTGAACAAAACAAACCTAAACGTACACTATCGAAGACAAACTTAACATCGATGCAGGTAAGCATGTTTTAGCTATGTTTTTAAACTAGGAATTATTTTGAATGAATAATAAAGCAATTAACGAATTCGGCTTTCGTAGGATATGAAGAATTAAGCAGATCTCGGAGGGTGTTATCAACCTCGGCCTTCGGCCTCTGTGGATAACACCCTCCTCGATCTGCTTAATTCTTCATATCCTACTCAGTCTCATTCATTAATTGCTAAATATCAGTAATAAGACGAAAGACTGGAGGTCCTTTTAATAAGGTATAGAGAAAATTGAATTTTTTTAAAAAATTCCTTTTAAGATGCCAAGAGGAAAACTTCGACCATATTCCATTCCCTTGTTGACATTTTTATGTCTTCGGTGGAAAACACGGAAGTTGTCGATAAAGCAGCAACTGCTACAGCAGCGTCTAAAAAGATAAGTCTGGTACAACGATTTGTTGAAGCTCTCTTTTCTAATGGCGATGGAAACAGTCATGAAGATTCAGAAGACAAACTTCAAATTTCAGAAGTCAAATCAGGAGCGTCAAGTAATCAAGAGAAACCCGGAAGCGGTAGGTAAAATGGTATTTGCGTTATTGTTTTTACATTATCTATGAGCGGGTAGTGTTTCTGGCTTTAAAAAACAATTATTTACCGAAGTGGAGGTGGTTAGCGGTGTATTTACTGAGGCCGCGAAGCGGCCAGGTAAATTTGCACCACTAGCCACCGACACTGAGGTGAATAATTTTTACTGGGCTGCCTGTCGTACAGCCCAGTTATAAATTGGGCTCGGATTTTCCTTCTGGCACAAATCGTACTCTGGCGTGTTGAGCGCGGGCGCAAGATATTAATGTATGCGCAGAATGCGTAGAATAGATCAGCGGACTTCATCAGAGTACATTCCTAGGAGCTCTAAGCGACTCAAAGCTATTAGCAATCTATCTGCGGTGGAAACATACGAATACAAAAATAAGAATGTAAACGCTGTTGATGGTTAGCCCACAGTCTGAAAGATAGCAAGCGTTTTTGGAAAAGGTATAGTTCACGAGCTATACTATGCAAGAGACCCATTTACAAGCGAACTCTTCCGAGTGAGTCTTTATCAGGAAACCTTGTATAGTAAGTGAGCTACCTACTGAGTTAGAAACCCTAAAAGAATCACCCAAATTAACTGTTAGACTCAAACTGTTCCTTACGTAAACATTACGAGCAACTGGATCAGGGACATTCAACAGTGTTTTTGATCAACACAACCGCCTTATGGAAGAATTCAGTACTTCATCAGCCAGCTTTTAGGTAACAATATCCTTGCTTTTACATCTAACTTTTGTATTGATTTCATTGATTTTATCTTTCTTTCTTTTTATCGTCATTTATGCAATCATTGTAATCGCGTATTTAGTGATCAATCTTCTAATGCCGTATGTAGATGTTTATACAGAGGCTGTTGTTATTTCAATATATATAAAACAAAAAATCTGACTAAAATTCACTGCACAAAAATACAGCACTAACAGATCGTGTCTGTTCAGTTACAACTCGCCTCTTCAATTCAGAAACAAAACGGTACGCAATGAATTGGTTTACATAATGTACGCATACCGTAGTACTGTTTGAAATTCTGTATTTCTGTTACACCCTGATTACACGTACTTAACAAGAACGCCGGAAAATATTATCAATGCTGGGTACTGGGTACTTTTTGAAAATTAATTCTTAGCAAGAAAAACGAGTGTGTCCTAGTGTCGTGAATACCGTACGGCCGTTCTTCACGATATCACAGTTATAAGCAAAGACAGGGTTTATTTCACAGTCTCGCATTATATCCTCATATTGTACAATGGCTCGCTCACACACTACACGAAATCGGGACTTTCTTGGATCCAGTAAGCTTTAGTTTTTAATCCGATCTGTCAGCAAGTTCTCTTTCGCTCAGTTATGTTTGAATACTTCGAATGAAATCCGCAATCAGTAAAATCTGACAGACGAGGGAAACTTTCAATAATCACAAAGTTTAAAAGGAGTAAAATCACGCCATCTCACAATCACGCTACACTCTTGCTTCATAACACCTACAACAGTCGCAAAAATTATTAATTATTAATTAATTATTTTTTTACGGCAGCAAACCGGGAAGGCATTGTGCTCGCAACTTATGATTACGCGAGTTTGGCGCTGCTCGCTCGGAGGAACTGGAGGTGAACCAGTGAATAGTGCAGGATATTCACTGATTGACTAGCCAATCAGAGAGCGCGAAAAATACTATCCGCTGTTTTAGTATATACTTAAAGTAAATAGTCAGGGTGTCAACGTCACTTCAAAACGAAACCTCGGCTTAGCAGTGATAACAACCTTGTAAAGGGTCGCACTATGATATTCTATTTAACTATCATGAAGTGCCAATCAAGTAATCTTAGTGAGATTTAGAAAGCATTTAGGCATAAATTTACAAGGGATGAGAATCCTCAGACGTTCTGGTAGTTCAAGCGAAATGACGCCATTGTACTAATGTCCTATTGTCATTTCTCCTGTAGATCTGATAACACAGGTAGCAAGACTGGACCAGGATTGCAAAAAGAGTCTTGTCTTTCGCTTCATGATAGATACGCTTGTTTATAAAGAGAGTCAAAGGCAACCAGAAGCAACTGGCGTTACGGCCGAAGAAGGGCAAGTGGATCTTCAAGAGGAAAGTAACAAGAAGAATACGAACATTTTTGAAGACGCGACAGATTCTACTGTATGGTAAGCGTTTTTCTTGAATTGAACACCCGCTTTTTTCAAGTACCCACGTGACGGTTCCTGGGGCCCGTTTCTCGAAAGTCCCGACAATTAACGGGCCCGGTAAGCTGTCTCCGTTTACATTTAAGGTCAAGGTTTCAATAGTTTTGTATCTAACATGATACAACTATCAGTTAATGAAACAAAATGGAGTAGTTTGCTAGCCAGGACCCGCGCTCTTATTCTTTCTATTGCGATTTGGATATTTGATTTCGGGGCCGAAAAGTTACCGGGACTTTCGAGAAACGGCCCCCTGAACACAAAAGCAACACCCTGTTCTTAGGCTTTAAGGTGGTCACAACGACCTGTGCGCACAAGTTTTCTGTTACTTCCGTGGCAATCCACTGCTATGGATACCCGCATTTCTCCCGGCTACGCTAACGTAAACAATACGTACACAATTTTGTACTGGTACCCAAGAACTAGTATCCAGGCACCAAGTGTGATTACAAAGCCTAAGGTGACGTGCATAAAGTGGCAGTTGTTATGAAAGGTTGAGGGCTTTCCAATCAGTTCCCATCCACAGCCTCATCACCGACTGCACCTCTCAGAGTTTTGTACATTGCCATCTTGCTCCTAAAATAGTCTTGTATGAGCGTATTTTATTTCATTTAGTTTTTTGGTTTTCCCAGTGAGTTAATCTTTGCTCATATTGCTGACAGGAACGGAACGAAAAATACAGAAATAATGGAGGGAAATGAAGATCATAATATGAAAACAAGAGAACATGATTTAAATGGTGCTGACAAAGGATATAGCCAGCGTCGGAAAAGAAGCACGTCTTCGACACCAGAAGATGTCTGTAAGCTTGGAATACACAACCTTGGTTACCAAAATGAAACCTGTGGGCTGGAGATGAGAACAATAAACGAAGAAGACGTCACTCAGCCTGTCGGTGAAGGCGATGCAATTATCCATGGTTTCGAAAAACAAATGTCACCTTTTACAGAAACAAAACCGGGCAAAAAAGTGAGTTTCTCTGTTCCGGAAAGGAATGAAGTCCGTAATTCAGGAATTTATCCTCTTCATTCAGAGATGACAGCATTTTCAGACAAAGAGACGCAGAAAAGAGTAAGCTTATCTGAGCTGAAAGAGAATGGACCTGAGAAAAAAGAGACGGGAGATGAATCCAATGATAAATCGTGTAAATCTGCGATTAGTGGAGGATCTGAAAAAAGGAAACCAAAGACGACGATGGATTGGTTGAAGACTCCTAGTGTTTACAAGGTTGGCATCTCTTAATGTGTCCAATGGCATTTTTGCTTTTTAATTTCACTTTAAGTCTTATCGGTGTATTATCCCCTTATGAAATGACTTGCCTTTAAAGCAGCTGCAAGATTGACGTGTGAGGATCAATAAATCATTTGCAGATTTACCGAGTCAATTATACCGAAAGGCTAACCTTTGCCAATACCTTAAGATACCGATAGTGTGCCGTTTAACAATATTGGTTAAGTCTGTTGTCAGTTGAGAACCTTATGCAGTTCACACAAACAGGTAAACAACAAATATTACATTTTTCTGTCAAAAAGGCTGTAAGGTATTAGCCCTGTTTAAAACAAAATCGTGCTAAAAACTAAAGTCATTGACAAATTTACCAAGTTCATTTCATTAATTAGGTTGCCGTTATCGTCACGTGTGCTCGCCTTGTGCAGGATGCGGTTTATGCGTATTTACCGTTGTACCTGACTGAAAGACTGGGCTTTGGGCAGGTAAGACGAATAATTTTACACCCTTTGTGCCAATGTGTTAAAAAGTATCCTCCATCAATTGCTCTACGATCATCACACCGTTCGCTATTATACAAGGGTACCTCTAATTATAGAAACATTTCCATGTGATGGCATCCACAACGCATATACATAAAGGGGTTATTAATTTTCTCTTCATCTCATTTTACTTTAAGCTTTTTGTCGATTCTTTTGCAGCAATCCATTGCCTATTTTCCCCTTGTTCTTCTTGTTGGCGGAGCAATGGGCAGCACTCTTTCAAATAAACTTAACTCCAAACTGGGAAACACGGTAAGCGGCTTCTCCCTCATTTAAATTTTTCTTTACATGTAACAAGTCGAATAATTCAACTGATAATAAATTAAAAATAAGGGAGTAACAAAATATCTGCAACTTGCACTGTTAAGCGAGACGATCTCCTTACCGACTTTTATCGGGGCTCCCGCTGAGCAAACCCTCTCTCCTGAACTTGATCTATATTTGATATCTTTCCTCAGGGAACTTACCTCATTGGTTCACTTCTCGTGATTGGTGCATCTGTATACTGTTATTTCCAAACCACTGAGTTGAAACTGTCCACATATGCGCCCGTAATCCTAACAGGCAGCGGCATGTCCATCATGTACGTCATGGCTCTGACGTTCTCCGCAGAACTCGTCAAAGCAGACAAGGTGCGCCCACGCAAACGTTGTGTGGAAACAGAATAATGACCGTAATATAATATAAACCTATTTAATCTTATAAATTTAAATGAAATACTTCGGTCAAGATAATTGAGATACCACCCGACTGACTGTTTAAAAAACTGAGATACTACGGAACTTCTGATTGGCCAAAATAACTGGAAAACGAAAGGGCGTTCTAACTGGTCGAAATAACTGACAGACGTCACGCACTCTTATTGGTCGAAATAACTTAAATGTCATATGGCTATTGACTGTTCAAAATAACTGAGACACTACATGTGTCCCCGACTGGTAGACAAGCTGATGAAAATACTTCGCTTGTTCTGATTGGATTAAAAGCAATTGTTTAATATAAGGGCCTTGTAACTAAAATCAAACTGAAAAAAAAAATTAAAATTTTTTTAATCCTTCCAGCTGTAGTCACTCTCTTAAAATAAAACGTCAAGAGTACAGGGAAAAGCTAATGCAAACCCTTTTCCAACTTGCTTTCGTAAATAGATTTCCGGTTAACCGGATTACGCATGAAAGACTGTGGAAATGGACACATCTCCCTTTAATTTAGACTTTATATTAGAGTGCCACAATTAGGTGACAAAGATTCCACTATGGTTGAACTATCAGATCAAGAGATCAGGCGCGACTATTCATAAACACAGCCATCTCCCAAACTTTCAACATATAAAGCTACCAGCCGGGTTAAACGTTTCCACGTTAATTAAAGTGTCTGAAACAGTTGTGCTGTCTTTTACAGGAAACCAGTGGTTCGGCAAACGCCATCATTGTTTTTCTAGGAAGAATATCCAGCGGTGGTTTGCTGATGGTTATACAAGAGTTTTACCCAGAAAACGGGTGAGAATATAAGTGGATCTCCTACCTTAATTTGGAAAATCGATACTTTTGTGGTTGGGTGAAAAATTTAATTTAATTAAGTGCCAATTTCTAGGAACGTTTGTTCTCGGCTATCTTTACTGTCTTCTCTGTTTTGGTGCAAGGAAAGGCTGCACATTACCATGGTTGGCTAGAATGCATGATTCGGGTGATTAAAATGTCCCGCTACCTCGATGCGTTTTGTCAATCTAAGGCATATACTAAAAGGCCCAAAAGCTGCCCCTTTTTATTCTTAGTTCGTCAAGCGAAACGCGCACAGGAAAAAACGCCTGGAGGGCGATTTTTAGTTATTTTATTTTATTTTATTTTATTTTATAGCTCTACGTCCAGTTTGAGTGAAAGCGACTACGTGCATCATGTATTTTCTATAGTTCCCGCTCTATTGGCGCTTGCTGGCTCGCTGATGGTTTTATTCTTCCGTCCACCGTCATGTCGTACAAAAAGAGGTTGGTACCGTTTCAAGCTTTCCATGCAATTATGTCTTATCATAAGCTAAGTTGTTTAAGATATAGCTTCTGTACAATAATTTTAATAAACACAATCAATATGGCAAAACTCATCTCTGGACACTAATTATGTCATGCAGTTTGTAAATGAAACTATGATCGAATTTCATCTCCTTTGCTAGACCGCCTTGAATGGATTGTTTTACATCAGCATTCGTAAACTAATGCTGTCGTTTGCTTGTGCTATAGATAGTGTTAAGAGGCCGTTTCTTTCACACTGAATTAACTAGCCTGCCAAAACAGCCGTTTCTCCTCGCTCCACCCCGCTTTGGACGTTTCGCCAGAAGAGACTCTCCTGGAGAAACGGCCCAAGCGGCGAGGATTGGCTGTTTTCGCAGGCTAAAATAAATTAACAGGCATCAATTTCAGTTACTCTTGCATTTCTTTTGCCCAAATATACATTATGGTTGTATCTAGAGGGGGCCGAAGGGGAGGCACGCCCTTCACTCTTTTTTTCTAAAATTACTTGTTCTATAGAGTTTTCAGTTTAATTTTTTTAAAAAAAATCTTGATTCATCAGTATGCACTCAGCGTTTTCTCTAAAGTTTCTGGATCCTACATCCCTGGCATTGATCGTGTACGGAAACGGAACAAGAGGAGCAGTGAGCAGTTCATGGGGGCTTTCTAATTGTGTCTCCATGAAACCACCTCTTTAATATCAGGCTTTATTGATCTATAATGCCTCCTAGCTAGACTAGGTTTTTAGCTATTTTCCAGGTGGCTTGTACCTTACATAAGTAGTAGTGTCTGTTTTTTAAATGTCTTTTTTTTCGGTGTGTAGTGTAAATAAAATTCTTGTATTGTCTTGTCTAACAAACGCGTTGTTCATTTTAGGAACATCTAATTATCGAGTCATTGAAACGGCACACTGCTTGTTTTATTTTTTTTTTTTTTTTCTTGTAGAATATTCACTTGATGAAAACGCTCAAGTTCGTGATCAATCAGAAGCAAGTCACGTTCAATCATTCAACGTTGTCGTAGAACCTGAGAGAGATTAGAAGGACGACGAGTTCCCTTTGGAATATCTGGACAAAACTGAAGAGAATCCTATCCAGCTACCATTGGCACACTGAAAATAACAGCCATTCAATTTTGGCTTCTTCGCTGGACGACAAGTTCGTTTTTATATCTCACCAAGGTTCAGTAGAGGACGCGGCTGACTCGATCGTCTTACTAATTTGTCTTAAAACAATGAACTGACTCGGAACCAATTGCAAGGATGCTCGATCGAAAAAGGAAATCGTTATATGATCATAGTACTGTTTAATAACGCAGCAATTAGCGTAGCATAGTTCATAATAGCTTGAAATTTAATAAATTTGTGAAACAACAAGGTTTATAAAGCCTCATTCATCTTTTGAACAATGCCCTCGCAAGGGGAATTATACTAAAGATGTTAGAACAGCCCTAGCACCGAACCTTGAGGAACACCAAATTGTGTCAAGCAAACCGGCCAATGAACTCATAGCCTGCGAACCGCAGACGTATTCCCGGTCGTCTTTTCTCTCCCTCCGAAACTAGAGCCGAACAACCCGGATGCTCTCGCAGGCTAATGAACTCAGTGTCTCTCCAAGTACTCAAGCTGACAAAAGACAGCCTCATCGATTAATTTTGAGATGAAAGCCAGAATTTTACATTTGCCTGTGTCCCTCCACTTAAAGTCCTCATGATCAAGCTGGATTTTTATTTTTAAAAAAGGATGGGAGTATGACGGAACAATCTAGCAATTACAAATCCAGTGACAAATGGGTTGGAAGCCGAATCACTAGCCGGCTGGATTCGCTCGGCTGTACAAAGTTTATCAATTAATTCATTAAATACTATATTACTGTTATATATTGACCCATTATAATAGGCACACTCAAATTCTCCAAACTGATGTCCATAAATTTCCTTAAAAGATTAGCTAAGAAAAATAATTTGATAAAAGATCAGAGCATTTCCCTTTAGGCGATCATTTTGTTAATTCTCATAACCATTTCCCT